TGTACCCGACGGAGAATGTCGATCCGTACAATGAGATAGCAGGCGAATTATTCAGGACGTTGTTGTCGTTTCGATGACTGACTGGAGTTGTGTTGCTTAAAAATTCCCCCCCATAGCCCGCCTCGACCAGACGGGTGGAGCCAGAAGTCAAAAACGTTTCCTACTCATTTAAGCTTTAAGCAAAAGCTGAGTACATAGTCAAGTAACTAAGCCGCCTAAGAGACACAGATTCGCCAGCTATATCATAGCGCACTGATCTCTTTCGTCATATGAAGATCATATTCAATCCAGCTATAGGCTCTATCTGTGGCATACGAAGGCTCAATTTTAGCACGTAGTGATCGTAGAAGCTGTGCTAACCGCTGTGGCTGGCGTTAGCGTGACAGCAGAGAAGATGCGGTAATACGTGCACCAGGCAACTGCATTACTCGCTCGTAAATGCGTCCACATGTTCCCTTAGTAGAGTTTACATAATCGACCTGAATACAAGCAGACACATCGGACCAGGCGGACCCACACCACGGCCGACCAAATCACCCGCAGCGCATTGCGATCATAACCTTTACCGCATTCGCCCATTTATAGACATGGGCAAACAAAAATAAAAGGTTGGCTTCAGTTTTCGGAACGATCAAAAAGCAACGCAATTTAGAATATACGCCTCACAGAGTACCGGATTGCTGTAGGCCATAAGCAACATCTGCTAACTGCACATAAGCAGCTTTGTTAAACAGGGGCGTCCTCTTGAGAAAGAACAGAACGTGGGTATTTGTGCAGATGGCTAACGATAGAAAGCTCGAATCGGTGCTGACCTACAGTTTGGCCCAGCACGTTTTCAGTAACTTCGTCAGCAAGCGAATCTGATACTGTATTCAACGAGCTGCCAGCTGAAGAACGTTGACTCGAACTATTTTTTTTTTTCTCTTTTATGCTGAATGTAAGGCCGAAGAACGAAAATAGACTATGCTTTTATTGCCTAAGCGTAGGAATGTATTCATAGTCAATTCATGATCATTTTATGTAATGCTATTTAGTGGTAAACGTTGATAAACCTAGCATGTTCCCATGATGACAAACTACGAATTTTCTAAAGTGTGCGAGCCTCTTATGCAACGAGTAGTCGAAAGGGGTTCAGATGTGCTGCTCCGGCGAACGCTACGACCACCATTTTCAAGTTGTTCAACTGTACAGCCGCAATAGTGACCAATGACCGCGTTACTCTCCGAAAAATGAGCTAGATATTGTACGATGATCCGCAGTGGAAGATCTTGCAGATTGTGTTATTGTAGCCATCACGGCATAGTCGTATATGGACAAAGTGACGACTCTATTTATTTTAGCGAGCCAAAATTGGTGCCGTGCCGTGCCGTGCCTCTTTTTGCCTGCATTACACGCTCGCCTTTCTACATACTCATCTAGCCTGCCCACATGCATAACCTTACCTATGTAGGCATGTAACAATATATTCCTTGCAGCGTTCGGTTACAGTGACGAATTATTGCAGATCAACAGGAGGCAAGTTGCAGGTAGATACAGGGGCACTGACAAGCTCAGATTCAAATACAAAATGGCTAGTGATTCAGGTTAGCAGATTCAAAGTTGGTTTGCCCTAGAATCGGGGAGATCGCGTTGCCCACGAGGTAGAAGAGTGGCCAGCCGTCGCGAACAAAGTCGGAACAGTTTCAACGATCGAAGAGTGCGCGCCTAACCATCACAGGCGCTACAATTTTGTAAACAATTCAAACGCTATATGGTGGGTGAAGCCAGAAGCCGCTTGCCCTCAGGTAAAATAGATCAAATAACCACAGCATAAAAAAAATTAAGCGCGTCATGGATTGAGCCGATTCAGCGAGAGTTACCTTGGGGCGATGTCAGATGATGGTAGGGCATTTAATGCTTACTCATCAAGTGACATCTTACTCTATTAGCTCGTTTTGAAAGTTGCGCATAAAGAATAATTTCGAGGTTGCCAAGAACTTCCTCGGTGGAACAAAGGAAGTTCATAATCGTCACTTACGTAGCTCGTTATCGGCAGCCACGCTCGTATACAGATCACAGACCAGCAAAACTTCAGCTGAAGCCTATACAGAAATTCATGAGAGACCCCATAGTTGGTTGTGGGAAGCCCGTCAGTAGCCCATAGCTGAAATGATTTTATCAAGGTGATAAAGATGCCTAGTTTTTTCAGTGAAGCCGGGTCGACCCAAGATTTCATATGCATTTTCAATAGAAAAACGAAAGGTCCAATCGATTCCAGTCACTTCAGGTTTTGCCAGTCGGCTTCTCTGAGTCAAGCCCTTATTTGATGTACGCGCAAAGACAATTTAGAGCGTAGAAGAAAGCAACGCTTTAGGTAGTTCATTATTATATTCATTTCAGGATATAATAATAATTCATTCAGGATACAAGTAAAAAAAACCTTTTATTTTTAATACACGTTATAAAAAAAATCTCTCTCAGGTTTAAATATGTGCAAATTTCTTAATTCAGCGTTCAAGAGGGCACAAGGCCTCACTGGCAAGCCACCAAATAGCTAGCTTGAACACTTGGGGCTGTTTTTATTTTGCATTCGCGTCCTGCTTTTGTTAATAATATACATTTCACGGTGTCAAATCGAACTAGCTAGAAGTCGATCTAAGATTCTCCGTTCAAGATAATTAGTTGCTGAAGTTTGTCGCTATCTGATGGAACTGTTAGGCGCGGCCACCTAACTTGGATACAATCTCGATGCTAGCAATTTAGATAGGAACGTTTTGATGTCGAAATACATGTAAAAAGATATACGGCCTATTTGCAGTTTTTCAATTTACAAACTGATTTATAGATCTGTATATGTAGAAAAAATGTATAGAGCTGAAGATTCTAGTTCTCGCTCAATGTTAATGCTATAACAGCTTGGAAATACGTAACCTTGGTCTGCCCACGAAACGGTGTTTATCTGAATGGTATTAGGGTGCCACCCTGTGAGAACATTCGATTAAGATACTATTATATCGAATATAAAAATCTGCTCGGGCAAGATCCCAGTGGTCTGCTCATTCTTATACTTCAGACCTGACGTTTCGTTCTACTCAACTTATTCTAGAAGTTTATTACGACGGAACGGCGTGCCTACGTGGCCAGTCGAACATGGCCGTCGGGATGTTCCGTAACTAGGGTCGAAATCAACAGAAATGATAGGTCTTCATGCGTTAAATAGGAAGGCGTAAATCTGGACAATGTTAAGTATCCGGGACATAAGCTGACCGCAAACGCAGCTAATACTGGTAAATATCATTTGAATCAGATGTGATAACATTGATTACGAGATATTGGAATTGCTGGCTGGCAATATATGATTTAATTATGAAACTTTTGCAACAATGTAACACAGCAAGACTGATGCCCGTCGCCCTAAGCCGACTGCGCCAAAAAACGTATTTAACATATTCCATAACAGAGAAATAGTACATTCTATAAAGGGTACCGAATGGCGACGCCTGATTTTCTCTGACCCTGCTTCAGATGCTTGTCTAGAACGATTGAATGGGCCTAGCAATTCTATTACTTTATATATAGATCACCCAGTTACTGCAATGGCTCACTAACCGATTCGATTGTCTCTAAGGGACAAAGACGTATTCGTGCCTCTTCCCAAACGTTTCCACTTCAGAGCTGCATTAAATTTTAGCACAGTCCTCGAACTCTATTCGTAACCTGAACACAGATGAGAGCTCTTTTACAAGCTTCGATAATGATAGGTCTTAGTCTTAGTAAGACGAACGAAGACATTCTGCCTTCGAAGAAGATCCGCTGAAGGTATAACAATAAATTTATTGGTAGATGGCGTCTACCGACTACATCTGATTAGTCGCGCCAGTGTCCACTCTTCTTTCGTTCATCCAGTATCAGCAATGGGATCGGTTAGAAAGGCTATGCTTGACACGAGCTGTGCAGATCTATGCGTCCCCGTGATATCTTAATGGGTAACGTATAATCTTAGATATACATTGTGGGCTAGGTTCGAACCCATAACGCATCGATGGGCACGCAAACAGAGACACCGTTCGTTTCGTGCTGGGAGCCTGCCGTCTGATGGAATACCTAACAACGATACCGGACGTAAAACATCAAACATAGAAATGTGCAGGTGGGCGCGTTAACACAAGTGCAAATGTTGGCGCCCGATAATTGACTCCGCACAAGCAGTAATCAGTAACATTATTCCATATTGTTGCACGCCACATCGCTGGAGGTATGAGCAGATCTATGGTTAGAATAGAGGAGCTGACATTGATTTGGCAAGTAAATTCGTTTGATTCGAGTCATTGTCAATGATTACGGTAATTTCTCGAAAACTATACCTCGCCATGTACTTGGAAAAGTGTTCGATTATGTATGTTGTCGGCTGCTACCTTCCGCAGTCTACTTCGGCCTAGATCTCTCTATAGAAGGACGTTTGCCAGGCTGTCCTGTGTTACTGAGCCGATCATCGTTCTCGTCAGCATATTTGGATTCCGCCATTGATTATGGATGGCTGGAGTACTAGAGAAGGTTAGCTAAACCTTTAGGAGGCTCTATCCAGAACAATGTTGTGCGATGCCGAACGGCGGTATCGTATCAGCTACCTTCACCGACCGCATCAGCAACCTAGCCCATCGACGTTCAATAATAATCTAGCTTTTCCTTTCTTCTTCCAGCCTGATAAACACAGCGATCAGCAGCAGTGCACCTCGCAGGTAGCCACCAATCACGTCGCTCAAGCAGGGTACCGCCCATCGATCAGGCTCCGCCCTCCAGCACAGACAAACTTCCAGGCAGACAGCAGGCCAACTGACTGGCCGGCTGGGCAGCCGATGAGCTAGAACACATCGTGTCGTTGCGCAGTGATCGCGAAACAACGAACAAGTGAATGAGAACCTCAAGAGGCGCATAGGGACGACTGGGAGCGCCGGTTTCAGCTTGTTGAGAGGCAGTCGAAACGGCCGCAGAAAGAAGACATTGACTAGCCGGCTCAGTCGGTAGTCTGCATGGCTATCGCCAGTCAGCCACGGAAGTAACCGTTGCCGCGAGCCAGTAACTGCATCGTATGTATGATAGCGAAAGGGACGATGAGGACGGCTGCGGCGGTCGGTAACACGCCCCTCCAGCTTGAAGGCGGTAGCGGTCACAGCGGCGGCGGTCTTGCTCGCACCCCCTCTCTCTCCCCCCTCGTTCTCCTTATCTCTCTCTCGCTTTCGCGCCACGCCATGAACAGTGGGCCGGTGTCGCTGAGCGAGATGCGAGAGACCGTGCTGCCTGACCGAGGAGAAGCTGTTGCGAACGAGAAGAGAGCAGGCCACTGTAGTTTGCCTGTTTGTCCGACTATATAGCTAACGAGACGAGAAAGGAACTGCTGCTGCTGCTGCTGCTGCTGCTGCTACTGCTACTAGTGCCGCCGTCGCCGCTGTTACTACTGCCGCTACTAGCCAGGGCAAGTCTACTGCTGCTGCTGTTAGCTCAAATATTTACGCGTGTTGAGTTCAAACATTCGGGAGCGGGATCTCGTCGCAGCACCAAGCGCTCCCGTCCGCACGCAGGCCAGCAAGCGCGTTGACCTTAACCGAAAATTAGACTTAATACGAGTGGAGTGGATCAAACCGGAACGAAGCACAGTGACTGTCCCGCTGAAGAGATAGACTGAAATAGTGCCTGTGACCGTTTGTCGAGCTAAATCGTTACGCTGTGCATTTCTTAGCTTATCTACCGCCGGCAGTGGTCACCGACACCCCAGTGGAACGTCTTCTTCCGACGCTTGCGTGGCGTCCTGTTTATCGACAGCATAAACATAGTCGGTTGGCTTAAGTCGACGGCGGTTCCGACGGCTGGGGCAGTCGCCGCCACCTTGCAGTCTTCCGTCGTTGATGTATCTCACACGACACGACGTCGTGTATACACAGCGACGTGAACACTCAGTCACGCACGACACACACAGCCGCGCACAATACTACTTTTGTATTTACCTGCAGCGATCATCATAATAATAACAATATTAGGATTCAACGTGCGAATGCGAGACGCAAATGTAAATGCTATTGTGACTTTGTTTAAGTGTGTGTGTTGATCATTGTCATCATCAGCATCATAATAATTGTTGTCGTCGTCGTCGTCGCCGTTGCCGTGATTTAACGAAGGCCAGCGACGCCGGCGACGGCGGCGCTTCAATGCCGTTCAAGTGCCCTTTGGTTCCGTAGGTCAATGTGCGCGTATTGATATTAAAGTTTATTCGTTTGCATCGTGGACGTCACGGTCTTCCAACGATTCGAGGTGATTAGTTGTAAATTTGACAAAACGCTACCCTATTGTTGCCAACCGACGACAATCACGAGGTTATTTCGCGCAAAAACTGACCCGTTTGCCACCGTCCTCTACCTTAACGACGCAGCTTGCGTGTCAAAATGATGATTAAACGTGAAACCGAGGACAGTCCTCAAAGAGGCGACCTCATTTCATCTGTCCCTTCAGTGCCTACAATGACTCCTGTGCCGTGTATGGCCACCTCGAGCGGACCTTCGATGCTTCCCTCCGTTGTGCCTGCACCAGCCTCCAGTTCTTGCACATCGCCACTTTCTCTAATGGTCGAAAATTATCTTCCACACCCGATGAATGGCCTACATCTGGACTACTCGCAACATAGCAGTGCGATACAATCTATTTATCATGAATACATTAATTCGCAGGTTAGTTAAAATGTTTCTTTCTTCTTTTTAGAAAAGCTATACTCTATAGCCAACTAGTTGATCTAGATGATGAGACTCGAGCAGACGGTACAACTATGCCCTACGTCTGTCGCACAGTGAAATCAACAAATACTTCGTGCGCGCCGAAGCGGCTTCTGTTTCCGAGAAAAAAGAACCGAGCGACCTCGTAACTAAAAAAAAATAATTAAAAATACAGCATATGCACTATGGAATTACAAGCAGGATTCAAAATAGGTGCGAATGTTTATGAGTTTATGCGGGTACCTGCGGCTCGTGTGTTAGAATAAGTCGTTTGTCAGTCTTATTTAGCAATATAGTAATTTAATTTTCAGTGTCTTTCTGATGCTATACTTCCGTCATATCTCTTAATTTGTTCGATATATGTTTTTAGTGTACGTCTAAATCTAATGACATTTAGTTAGGTGCTGTTACGCGATAGTGTTTTCTGTTAGCTCACTGTTCACTGATTAATCACTAACAGTGCCTGTACAGGTGTAACGCTAGATTGTCCTGTTTTTCTTTTTGTCACCATGGCCTGCGACCATTTTCGAGCTGTCTCGCCTGTCGCTATAATCATCACTATATCTTTTGCTACTGTCTCTCCGAGTGTCGTCGCCATCAACTACGAGTAAACGTACGTTTTCTGAGCGACCTTTTTCCATCGGTCGTCCACCTCCTTCTATTATATTGTGCCATTGTTTATGTAGCTGATGTACACATGTACTTCTACTGTGGAGTTTCGACTCAGGAATGTTATATCAGCACCGGAAGAGTGGGAGTCACGCCTGCGTGTCAGTCCGTCGACGTTTGCTCAAGTGGAGGATTGGTCTGTCCTACTTTTTGCGTAGCGATGGCGCTAAAGGTCTCGACGACAATCAGCGCACCTCACCTTTCACTGGAGACTGGCTGCCGGCCACGGCCTTTGGCCCTTGTCGCGGCCACTACGGTAATACGTATGGTCGAGCTATGCAACAAACTGGCGATCGCATTCAGTACGCACGTAAAGATCAACGGATGGTTTCGGTATAACGTTTACTTCGAGTAATAAGAGGTACGAATATCGAAAGTAAAAGACGACATCGCGGCACTTTACTTGGAGGCGGCCATGGCCAGACGCAACCGCTGACACTTTTACCAGGAACCGAGAAATAAAAAGTTCAGATCAGATTAACGGTCCAAGAAACAATTAATCTATTAACCAACAAGCCTGTGATTGCAGCTAGTTTGGTTGACGTTCGGTATTTATACAACAACTTATTGCTGCGACTGGAAATGGGCATCTGTTCTGAGACACTTCTTAACGATTCGGATGAGCATCATTTCGCCACAACATCGAATCTCCGGATGAGCCAAAATGCTTGTTGACTTCATCAAAACGTTCCAGACGGACGGCTGTGGTTCAACCACAAGCGTACAAAGCTACCGCGGCTCCAGGCGACGCTCGTAACAATAGACTGTGGTTTTAGGAATCAGCGCTTCGGTTAAAAGCTGGATGGAGATGACTTAGTCAAAGATCATGGTCAGATGGAGATCATCAAGGCATTTGCCCGACGGGGGCTAGTACGGCTCGATCGATTGTACGCTCGTAAAATTCCTTATGACGTAATCCCACTTTCTTGGATAGAGTTTCATGCGTCAGAATCTACGTGTACAGCACTTTCACGAAGCTCAGAGCTTCCGATCTATCGAAGCATGGCCTTCGTGTATGCACTGGACCTGTACGTTTCGAGTTTATTCCATCAGACGGCTGGCTTGCAGCGCTCTGCCTATGGCCCGGTTTGAACCTTGACCACAACGTCCTTCTAAGATTAGCAGGCAAATGCGTTACTAGGCTATCACGAGGAACCACGCATAACACTAATGTTAGCGGATACGTCTAACGTCTATATAGTAACTTTGCAATGGTAACTCTAACTATGTCTAAATCTTCGTAGATTAGAGTGCATTTACTAACTTTCGGTTCACTACTTAGTTACCACTATCTTTTCGATAAAACTGGAAAATCCCAAACCGCTTCGTGACCATCATTTGTTATCATAAGCTGTCATCTCGTGCTTTCTATTTGACTGTTGGAAGCTCACAGCGAACAGCCGAATCGCTGAAATTTCAAATAAGTCTTTTTCTAAAGACAACTATTTAAAAAAGTGCCTTTAACTTTTCTCTCTAGTTTGACGAATAACGAAATTAATAAATAGACATTTAGAAGAACAATCGGCGGGGGGCTTTTTTAAACACAAGTTAGTTTCCCACAAGTGCAAGGACACAAGTGCTTTGTTACCCCACGAACTGTCTGATATCGTCTATTCAAAATCAACAATTTAATTTAGTTAAAAATGCCCCGTTTAGATTATGTGGTACTCGTATACTGACAAAAGATGTTTCTTGTTGTCTGTGGATACCAGCAAATACCCCTTACAGCAGCCCCTGGTATTTTACTCGGCGAAAATCGAATACTCACAATAAGCTGTTGAAATGAACACTCTGTCTTAAAGCCATACGAAAAGCAATATTATAGTTAACAAAACGATACCTGAAAGCTGACCTCCTACTTTCACCAGTGTCCTTAAGGCGCGTCATTACGCGCAGAATAATATGTGCAATAGTAGTTAAGCGATACTATAGTACCAGTTTACAGACGTTGACGAGCGTAAAAATCGGCGTAAGGCAATTTTTGAAATGGGGTTACATATATCTTTGCGTAAGGCCCTGAAAACAGTCGATAGTTGTTGCCTCGGCCCGTCGAGCCTGTGATCGCAGTGACCAGATTACTGGAACCTAGCTGCTTTGTAATACAAAACAGTGCTTAACAGATGATTGAAATGTGTACTTACAGGTAAGCAGCACTGCCCTTGCCGAAGTTCCGGACGGCCCAACTGCACAAGTGCCTGAGGATAAGCCAGGTACGGGTGGTGCGGTTGCCAATGGTAAAGCTAATAGCGGTAGCAGCAGTGGAGGTGGAAAAAAGAGCGATTCGAATTCGCAACGAAGGCAGGAAAAACCGCCGATCTCTTACATCGCGCTCATTGTCATGGCAATACAAAGTTCACCTACTAAACGGCTTACTCTTAATGAAATTTACACCTTTCTTCAGCAGCGATACAGCTTCTTTCGAGGTTCTTACACGGGCTGGAAGAATAGCGTTCGGCACAATTTATCACTTAACGAGTGCTTCCTCAAATTGCCGAAAGGCTTAGGCCGGGCCGCGAAGGGCCATTATTGGACAATCGACCCCAGCTCGGAGTTCATGTTCGAGGAGGGCTCATTTCGCCGACGGCCACGTGGTTTCCGTCGAAAGTTCCAGCTCATGAAGCAATCGTACACCAATGGAGCCAGCCATGTAGCAAACCCACCCGCGGTGGCCGCCGGCGTTACACCCATAGCCACGGGCCCAGCCGCGGCAGCTGCTATAACACCTGTCGCCAACTATTATCCCGAAGTGCAAACAACTCAGCCATCAATGTATACCAGCACTGGATGTGATATGGTAGCCAGTTATACTGCTGTAGCCGCAGCGGACTATGCAGTCTACCAAAACGGTTATCCGTCTTACCTTGGTTCAATGGGATCCAATGTCAATACTGATTACTACCCAGCTACAGTTAACTCAACCGTGCCAACAATGAATTACGACTATATGAAAACCGCAAGTCTCCCATCAATAGTTTCAGGATATGAAAATGGTACCTCAGTTGGAATTATGGCGTCAGCCGGTGGAGGCGGCGGCGGTGGTGGCTATCAGGAGGTACCACAAGACTATAAGGACTACTCAAAGATGATGGAGGCACAAATGTCGTCGCCTCTTACCATTGTCGGCCAAGAGAACGCCGTGCAAGATGGTAAGTAGAAAAAAAAAACCATAATTTTCATGTACTGTTCATGCGTTGTGTGTATGTAATTAGATCGGCGCCTGGAAAGGTAATACCTTGAGTGAGAGCATTTACCCAGTGCCGTTGCTAAAGCTAGCTATGCTTAAGGAAGCGGCGGGGCTTATGATTAGGTTCGTATCAGCCACTATCTCGTGGCGATTCATATAAAAGTCGGCAATGCGCCCCAGAAACTATAATAAATGTCCGGATGGTTGAGGCAACCGTCGACAGTCAGTCCTGCGCTTCTCAGAGCTATGTTTTCTTTCTAATGTGCGCTCGCTCCACTGATAGATAAACGTATAATAATGCTTTGTTATTCCGGAAACGGTGTTGTCCAGCGGCCAGCCATCAACTGCAATCTCTCGAGTCCTATTAGCCGTGATCAGACGTGGTTGTTGTTGTTACTTCTGTTCCTAAGAAAAATGCTGATCTATCTGCCAATGGTTTTTCCTACTGAGTGGGCAGCGAATAAACAGCGACGATACGAGTGCAACCATACTCGATTGAACAACTGGACTGAACGATCTTTTTCACTCTGTTCATGCCCATCACCGTCTCTCTTCGTTGTCGTCGGCCTGGGCTCTTAAAAAAATACTCACTTCCTTGTGCATAGATGAGTTCCCGCCCCTTATTCCTAGCACTTGAGGCACTTGTGATTCGAATTCATTACACATGCCGATATTTTTCTAGCCGGCGATACTTGACTTTTTACTTCTCAACAACTCTGGACGTGTCCTTTCACCGTTCAAATAGCTTCGTGCGTAGTAGATTAACTGGCTTCTCGAAGAACAGCTAACAACAGCAAGTGCGAGATATAGCGAACCGAAGACACGGATACGCGTCCTATCAGCATCATTCTTGTATAAGCTCAAAATCCTAGTTCGGCTTTGTTGTTTTGTACTGAAGGTATTGGTTGACTCATCTCATGGGTGTCTTTCACATGGACTCGCTGAGCACTGGCAACGTAAACGTTTCTAAAGAACGTACATTGCTTCATAGCATGCGCCAAGTAAACATTGAACATACTTACGTTAAAAAACCTTAAATAGCAGCCTTCGATCTATGGCTTAATAGTAAAAAAATCATTTATTTTGACTCTTTTTCCTTTAATGGCTGATAGCGGAATAGATATCTTCTAATCTTTATCTCAGCCTTTTCCAAAAGATTTTACTTTCATTGTTTTCTGAAAGGGTCACCTCTTCGGTCCACTGTTGTTATCGATTCTCACGTGCTTCGGTTGTTTCGTGTCTCCAAGAGCGTCGTCAGCCTTAGGAAGAAGATCGCGTTGGATCGAAGGTTGTAAAGAGCACACTTTATGGTACTAGCTGTCTCACCGCCTCATTCTCTCTGACAAGGTTCAACATGGTCAGCCACCTTACATTCTTCCAGGCAGTATTTAGTCTTTAACGCTGCCGAGCTCTTTGATCGTGATGTTCCACGGGGGTATCGCGAAATTGCGACGGAATGGGCGATGGGAATCGCTGATGAATGTGCCTGACAATATGCCGAGCCGAAAGAACTATTCCGCGACAGCCATCTCGTATGCAAGATCTATGTGCTCGGTGTTTGCAAATACGATCGTCCAAGGCTAGAATATACGTTTCAGAACAATTAGTAGCTAGCAAGGGAACTCTTTCAGTGTACGATCTTCAACTTACCTAAAGTTAAGGAAGAAATCGACAATTATCAAGGACCCATGTTGCCGTAGCCTTAAAAGAATAACACCAGCGACCTCTGCCGTTACTACCAGTCAAAAGGGAGCCGCTTTTGATTATCGTAGACTAAAAAAAGCGCCAAGAAGATAGAACTGCGTCTATAATGAATTTTTCCTATGCGACTCACTTCTGCTTCAAATGTTGAGTATCTGTGTTACAGGTTAGATACGTAACGCTTTTCACACCATTATACTTCAGTCATGATAGGATACGATTCGTCGAGATCAGATTGGGATTGGAAGAACGATGTTCTCACAGTGACAACGGTTTTACGAGTCCAGGAAATCATCTAAGACAAAGTCAAATATCTCCACCAGAATCGATTTGCTGAAAGTGACTAAAAATCCTATAAACCAGCAACGTTGATGTCATCCAAGTTTGATGCCTGTTTTTTTTTCGTGTTCTGTGCGAACTGGGGTGGCCGATCTCGGTGGTGGCTGTCCATGACGACAATCCTCAGACTCCTTTCTAGTTACCACGTCGGCGATGGCACTGAAGAGTAATAGAACAGTGTTGCAGGGACTGATAACAAGTAGTTGAAGCCTCAAGCAGTTAGCAGAAGCTACAGACTGCTTTCTATTCTCGCCGATACGCGTTTACGAGCGTTGGTCTAGCGGCGAGTAACATGGGAAAATGCTACGGGATTGTTTATTCTCTTTGGGGTTTTTCGAGTAACGAGCTCCCGCATATCAACCGCGATCGAGTTTTCAAAGCCTGTTAATTGAAATGCTAGAATCAACGAAGATAAAGATACTAGAATATTTAAGACTCTGCGTCAGCTGAATAGTAGAGGCAGATTTCTAACAGGTTTGTACCATTTCGAGCTGGCCTTTAATTAGTTTTTCTTATGAGGACAGGTCTTGGGAATCACCGTTAGGTATAAATTTGGATAGCAAGAGGAAAGATTTTTTTGGACGGATCTCGGCCTTTCCAATAGGCCTATGAAGTGGCAGAGTAACTATCACGCTAGTGGCCCTAATATTTTATTACTCATCTTTGCCTGTCCGTGACCATTAAGGTTTGAATTACCGATGGCCAGCATGTTCGCTGTTTGTGATTGCCACGGAAACACGTTCGGAAGTGCGTATTAACCATCCAGACCACGCTCCCTAACGTAAAAAAGACTTCTAGACATCAAAATACCTAACGGCCATACTGGACGTAACACTGAAAGCATAGAGACATGAGAACGATAGAATCATAAACAATATCTTATATGCCCTTCGTATAAGATAAGGGCATTTTTTCACAACAGGCCTAAACAAAAAAAGCCACCGAAAAAATTAAAAGCCGTCTTTGGCTGATCAAAGATATATAGGACACTAATATTGGCATTATTTTTCTTGTCCAAAAATTCTCCTATATCTAATTACTTTAGCAATGAGTGGTTATTTTTTAGGGATTTTATAGACGTTCTCGAATTGCTACTTAACTGATATGTAGACCTTAAGGTAGAGGCACATATTTTAAGACTAAGGAAAATATAGTGACTTTCATCAAATATATTTTTACCAAATGGTATACGCTTCACTGGCACTACTTCCAGAAAATGCGAATTCTAATATCTAACTTTAAATATATTATCAAGTTTATTATATATGAAACAATTATAATGTGCTCGGATATACCACATATCTTTTACCGATCTCCGGCTGGACCGTCACTTGTTATTATCCTTCGGGCAATGTCGCTACTGTTGCTGTTACTGTGTAAAAAATATTATTACTACTATTATGTTAGTCTCGGCGAGTGACTCAAACAAATGGGTTGTTGGCACCAAGTGACCGTACCGCGGTGCCCCACGTCCGTGTTCCTACAATCACAACTAACCTCCCATCCCATTTATTGAAATTATTACATGTGTACATGGGATGTACATCTAAAAAGACATACTATTATTATTGCCATTATAACATCCCCATAGGAGAAGTTAGCTAACGTATGCTTTCGGTGGCAGTCTCATACTTAAAGCACTATTATACCAGTTATTTGTTGTGCTTTGCGATCTCAGTCAAAGACCGAGGTTCGTTTAAGAGACTCTTAGAGCTACGCTAAAGCCACCGGCAATATTTTTATAGCGATGTGTCCGTATGCATAGGCTTGGAATGGAAGAGTATGTTCTCAAGACATGAGAGCATGCAGGTGCTGTCGAATGACATGGGATCTCCACGACGCCACAAAAAGGACAAGAGGGATAGGCCAAGGAAAAGTTACCGAAAGTTCTCTTCTTTCTTTAGATGGAAGAGCTCTCTTCGTTGTGAACTTTCTTCGCCGGGAGCGAGTTCGCCTGTGCTCGCCATAGCACAAGTCAAGACGTCAGTCGTATACTCGTTTCATGACTTGCGCTCGCCCGTTTCGAGCGATCCATCGAACGACAGAGAAGCCATTGACATCAAATAAATGTCGCCCAAAAACACGAGCTGAATAGGCTGCGGACCTGTGAGATGAGAGAAGGCCAATTTTCGAGAACTGTTTTCACCCGATTCAGATAGGAAAAGGGCAGTATTTGCTGTACTGTCCGATCGATTTTTTTATTTGGCATGACGGTCTTGATAGTAGAGCTGGATAGATTGGCCCGACCGCCAAATCCAGCTGAGCCTGAGCTCTTTGGGAGGTCACTTGTTTGTACCCGAGTACAACGGAGGCACCTTGCTGTAGGACAGGGAACATGATGTGATTTTAGCTAACTTGACTAACCGAAGCCCTGCGATTACCGGCTTTGGAGCCTGGATCAATGAAAGCACTACTATCCGTTTATGAAGGACACTGCCATATAGGACTGACTGGTCTTGCAGCTGTACACGGTCAATAGCTATGCTGGCCTAACAAGCCAGGCCATTGACAATAGTTTCAATAAAACGCAACTAAATAGAAAGGGAATAGAAGGAAAAGCAATAATGGAAGAGTGTCTAGAGGCAAGTTCTGCATCTTTCGTAGCGCAACTATGCAGCGTGCCTTTCGATGTTGCTCAAACGAAATAGGACATAACGGTCGTTCATCAGAGAATAATAATATACATTATACGTATAGATTCACCATGACGGATCATTTCGATATGTCTATCGATTAGTAACAAGATACAGTATCGGTATGACTATAGCTATTGACTGGTGCAATCCTTTCTGCGTCTCGAGTGCGGGCTGTGTCGAGCATAGATTTTCTCAGATAATTACTCATTCGATTCGTATCTAATTATACTAGATAAGGACGGATACTAGGATGCTAGATAAGCTCTCCCAAACCCGAACACATATG